GATACGTTACTTTTTATTTTAATAAAAAAATCGTTGCAAATTTAATTGAAAATGGTACCTATTATATTCAAAGTTCATATTTTTGAAATGAATAATTTTCATTTTTAATAAAAGCATAAAAATAATTAAATTATCACCAAATTAATATAAATTTAAACCAATTAATAAAACTCGATAATCCGGAAATCTCGGTAATCCGGATTGGGGTCTGCAATCAATTATCCGGATTAGCGAGTTTTTACTGTATGCCAAATAAATACTAATAAAGTAGGTTAACTTCGTAAAAATGACTAATGTAAATGCGGTTTTAGCCCACAAAATTATATTATTATTTAACTGTCTTTTCTGCATACTAACTACCCAAGAAATAAATAAAAAATAGCCCTATGTAAACTTTACATTGATTGGTCATTCAATAAATAAAAACTTCAACGTTTCCACGATCCGAAACAACCCGAGCCGTACGACGGTTTTATTACTAAAGAAAGAATATGAAACCCAAAAGTTTGCTTGAATTTAAATTGATCTGTGTAAACATAACATTGGTTGGTGGATGGTCAGTCAATGAATACAACCGATTTTATTTAAATCCGTTTGATATAAAAAACGTCATCTATTACAAAGTAAAACAAGGCCGGTCACCCAAAAAACACCATGCTATTTAAAAGGAGATTCTGTCATGTAGAAAGATTTTCCTTGTTTTTATAGGGTTCTAAGGCCCATATCTTTTGATCCACAACAGATACCGCACCATTTTGGAAAGGGCAAATCGTGGTCTATCATTTGGGTCTGGTTTGGAGAGGGACTATAATGGACCCAAGTTCGACTTTTAGGGAGTTTTTCAAAAAAATGGAAAGGTATTTTTATAACCTTTAAAATGATACCCATATTATATTAACCGGATCCGTAGAACCGGATATAACCGGGTACCCGTACCCGAACTTCCGGGTCAAATAACCGGGTAAATTTGATCGTTTTTACTAAACTAGAGTTGTTCCCAAAGCTCAACGATTTAAATTGTTCTGTGTAAACATTACATTAGATAGTGGTTCAATAGAAACAGCTGATTTTATTTTAATCCATTAAAAAATGGGCATTGCATTTGAAACATGCTTTGTTCCAGAACCTGCAATAAATTAAAAAAAATATTTTTATATAAATTTTTTGCACAATTTTTTTTTCTTTATAAATTTGAAATAAAAATTTTGAAGATTTCCCTTACTGTAAAATATTTTTTTTTTCTTAAAGGTTTTGCATGATATTTTCATTTCTCTGCAAAGGTATTCAGATTTGCGTTACACAGTAGTTAACAAATGATGAATAGTAAGATAGAGATAAACATACTTTGCGCAAAATATTCAAATTTTATATGGCTTACCAACTTGTAATTTGATATGCAAGCAAGCAAACAGAAGACTAGCAGACAACCCGCTGTGAAGTTGGTTCATTTAATAAGAAAGAAAACTACAACAGCAACAACAATTAAAAAAATGTTTTTGTTTCTCTTTTGTTTGTACTACCTTACCTACATATGTACATACATATGCAAATAATGTTTGAAGTTGATTTGACGCTTGGCTGAATTTACTTAGTATAATTTTCCATTTTTTTCAACTGTCGTCAAAATTAAAAAAAAAAAAAACATTTTTTTAAATAATTTTCCAAATAACAGTTTGCCGCAATATATTTTTTTGTTTCAACTAAACCAGGTCCCCTTTTGAAATAAGTGCTTGCTGCTTCCTGCATACTTCTTTTTTCCAAACGTTTTGAGAAACGTGCGAGAGGTATCTTTACAAAAGACCGTGAGCTACAGAGAATGAGCGAAAGTAAAATTTACAGAGAGTAGACATTGAGTGCAAATATGTGTGAGTGTGGTTAGCGTTTTTTTTTTTTGTTTTTTTCCTCTTCTTCTGTGAGCCCACCATTGTTTTCAAGTTGATGTTCCTTTTTCGTTGTTGTTGTTGTTTTGTTGAAAAATTTGTATGCGTCGTCGTGCATCGCCCTCGACGGCGACGTTGACTTCATTTTCTCACATAAAACAAAGCAATGAATGAATATGTAAAAGGACAACAGCAAAAAAGAGAATGCAATACAGATGATCGTCGGTTGGGCTACACAATTTTATTGACCTTTATCCGGCTTGGTTAGTTATTTTATCTTGTAATGTTTTTTTCTATTATTGTTTTTATTTTAACATTCACTTCACCTACCCTCCCTCTCCACTACGCGTTGCATATTGGGTCTTGTTTATTGAGAATGACAACCTGACAACAGTATTGCCATTTGTTCACATTTTGGACATACAGAAGAATTGTAAAATACTATTTAGTACAAAAAAGTCTTCAAATTGTTGATGTTTTTTTAATTATTTCTTATGCCCAGTTTCGTTTTTTTTTTTTTTTTTTTTTTTGTTTTTTCACAAGCCCCATTCGAGGTGTCAGCTCAACTTTGTGAATAACAAACAACATAATTCCCACACACCACATAGTACATTTATCTGTCTGTATACATGAATGTTGGTAACACTGTTGTGTGTTGTCAACACAAAACACACACAAACACACTTGCACGCTCCCATACATCCCATACAGTTAATGGCAGCGGCAACAAAGCAAAATTTCCATTGTGTAGACAGCGAGCGAACAAAGTCGTCGTCGTCTCGTTCCTTCATTCGTTGTTTTCTACTCGCCACTCGTATACACGGGCTAACATTTGGTGTTGTTTCTTTCAATCTGAAATGAGTGCAAAAAGAATTTTTTTCCTGAGTAATAAAAAAATATATGAAAAATTAACTAACCCCAACCAGCCAGCAGTCATTTGTGGAAAATTGCTGAAATGTACATATGTGAAAAAACAATAACAAAAAAATGGATAATTTGCCTAGTACAGAAAAAAGATTTGTTAAAATTTCTCATTAAAAGAACAGTTAGTGTGGGACATTTGTTGTCTGTTGACGTTTCATGTGAAACAAACAAAAAAAGGAATTAAAAGTGAAAACCACCCCAAATAAGAAAGGGTGCTAAAATTTAATGGAATAATAAATAAACACGGTTTAACACATAAGCACACACACACAAACAGACTTCTCTGGTGTGTCGTGTCTTATCGCCCAGCCCTAGTTGGATGTGCCAGAGTAAACTCTTCTCCCACAAAACCAAACTACAACAACAATAACAAAATTAAATGAAAAATTGAGAAATTCCAACATCAGCAAAAACAACAACAAGTGCAAGTTTACTAATCGACTAAGCAAAATATATAGGCAACAACTTTACTTGCAGACCCATAAGCACGCACACACACACTAACATGTTTTTAATAAGAAACTACTATAGTGTGTAATAAAAAAAGTTTGTTTTTTTCCCATATCGTTATTGTATTATCTTTGTTTGTCGGTCGTCGGTCGGTTGGTGGTGTCGTCTACATTGTCGATATCAACCACAAAAGAAAAAAAAAATAAATAAAACAAAAACAAAATCACTTTAATCTACTATGTGAAACAAGAAGAAGAAAAAACAAGACAACAACACACTCCCACAGAACAACAGAAAATATCCAATGCTGCTCTCTCATCTCTGTGTATGACGTTCTTGTTGAGACGCAACTCTTTGTGATTCGGCAATTTTTTTTAATTTTTTGGTTTGTTCTGCTCTGGTCATTGGAAATGAGCTTGCGTTAGTTGCTGTTGTTGTTGGTTTACTGTTTGGATAAATCGTGTGAGGTTTTTACCAAACAACCAACCAACAATAAATATTACGGTTTCCACTCAACTCGCTCAATTGATTTCAACGCCCTTCCCCCTCACTCTCTTGAACACATCATCGCTCTCGCTCTTTCTCCCTCTCACCTCTTTCGATATATTAAATTTTTCGCCAGATTATTGTGAGCAAAACAAAAACGAAAATAAAAGTAAATGAAAAGAATAACATGAAAAATAAAATAAAAATAAGACGACTATAGGAAATAGAAAGAAGAAATACGAGAAAAGAGAACAGCAACCAAATTATGATTAGGGGTATATTTGTTTGGCTATTGACGTTTATGATTAACAAAACGGTCGCCCGCCCCCTGAAAGACTTGCACAAAATGACAAAACGGCAAATAAACTAAAGTGTTAAACTTGTTGGAAAAAGTGATGAGAAATAAAAATGAAAATAAGTTATTATTCAATAAAAATTGAATACATACTAAATTATTTTACTATAACTACGTGATTGATTTTAATCATATGTAATTTATTAATAAATAATAAATTACATATAAATAATAATTTATTAATAAATATCTACAAATGAAAACTAAAATACATAAATTGAAAAACCATATTAACAATTATTTATTTTTTATACAAACATATTCTGAGCAGCAATATATAAAAAATATGTTTTTTATTGTGTTTTCTTTACAATTTAATAATATAGTGAAGTATAAAACAAACATAAAGAGCAATAAAAAGCAAAAGTTAACAATACATGGAAATCAGTGAATGAATGAAATCAGAAAATGAAACAAAATTTCCAAACAACAACTACAGAAAAAATATATACTACAGAAAAATGCATGAGCAAATTGCCCCCTTTCATTTGAATAATAACAATAATGGAAGAGAGCAATAAAAAATAATACAACAATAGAAGAAATACTAAAAGTAACTACAACAACGCTGTTTTTCAAATAACATCTCTACAAACAAACATCACATTGAAAAAAAAACGCGTAGCGTTTTAAATTCGTTTTAGACGTCGATAAATCGCCAAACGACGACGTCGCCGCAGACACAACATCGCCGCCGTTCTTCTTCACCTACCTGTCATCGCAATCCTAACGTCGTCGTGTGGTGTGAACACATTACATTACTCACTACTACTACTCTACAATATTTGTTTTGGTTTCTCATTGTTGTGTTTGTGTGTTTTGTGTACAATTAGTTGTGGCCGCTAACGTTGCAACAGTCGCCGCCGCCGTCTCCATTTATAGGTTATTTATCAACAACGAACGCAACAACAGAACAAAAACAAATTAATGATAATTAAGAAAATGAGGAGCTGCTGTATCGTCGTCGTTGTTGCTGAAATCTATGAACTATGACGCATCAATCACATCAGACAAACGGCGCTAGTTTGGAGGATTGCCATACTAACTTTTTTGCTTTGGTAAGTATGCAACAACAATAAGTTTACACAAACAACACAATTGCTGCTTGATTTTTTTGTTTAGTGAATGGAAACGTATTGTAGTATTTATGCTCTCTTGGGTTTTTCGCATTGTTTCAAAATAAAAAAAAAATACCTTCGTGTTGTGTTTCATAAATTAAGACGAACAAAAACAGCTATAGGTCAAAATGATTTTGAAATATACCTAATATGGTGTTACCTATATCTCATTTGAAGACAACTCAGTTCGCGCCAAGCTATGCTAAATTTCTTATCAATCGGACAGACGTCATAGGGTTTGCGATACACCAATTTATATTTGAAGCTACATATGTATATCTATATTAAACCTTATTATAAAGCAATGAAGATAACATACTACGTCATTATACCTTCAGCCTTATGGCTAATGAGGGTATATGCACTTTGATACGGCTAAAATGTACCTCATTGAAATATTCGTTTTAGACATAGGTTCTTTAAACAGGTTCACTCCAAGTTTTCCAATTGAATTGCCTGTAATTTAGCATTCGCGGACAGAAAATTTGACGTCGATTTACTAATGTCTGTCAGTCTATTTTTTTGGTCGGTTGAGGTAACCGATTTCATCATTCACACTTTGGATATCGTAATATTTCTTCCAAACTTAGTTCGAGTTCAAAGATTGCGAATATCGATCTAATGCTCCTGGTACCTCCCCCACAAAGTGGTCAAAATTGTGCAACAAAACCCTTTTTTTTTTAATATCATTCGACGGTCTATTAGATTTGCACCAATCTTTGCACAACCTATACAAAACCTAAATGGAGTCCGAAGATGGGACCCATTGGTTTACTCCTTTAATTTTAACAAACTCAATACTAGACGAAAGGAATATCCGATTGGAGCCAAACTTTGCGAAACCTATTATCTTTATCATACCAAAAATTGGGACCCCACTCCTTCTGGTAACTCCCCCACAAATGGTTAAAATTTTCATTAATTTTTGGGTCACTCCTTCTGATATCTCCCATACAAAGGGTCAATATTTTAGAAAAATGGTAAATTGAAATTCAAAGCGAATTGAATTACCGACAACAACCTGTGTGCAATTTCAAAGACCTTAAACCATAGGCTGAGAGTATATATCTGTCGGTCACACAGGAAGACACTTTTATACTTTCGATGGTGCACAGAACTTAGAATATTTGTAGCCACTCTCTCAAATTCCCTCACAACTTTTGCCTTTGTTTTTGGAAATTTTATACGTTTTATATTTTGTTTGTAAAAATATCGATGATTTAGTTAGAAATGAGCGTTTTTTTTTAAATGTTTTTTTTTTATAATTTTTGTTGTTAAAACATGTCAATTGGGAGTTATTTTCTTTCCTCTCTTTTGCGACTTTTTGTTTGTTTGTTTTTTTTTTTTTAATTCGATGACCCTATTTTTTGTTTTGTTTTTAAAACATATATATTTATAGTAGTGCTGCGTCGTCGTACTCTGAGCATTGTTGAGTGCTGTCAGAGATTCGCTACAATTGAGTTTTGTTGTTACTGTTGTTGTCATGTTTTTTTTTTTTATTTTATTTTGATACGAACTTGTTTGTCTAGTTTTCTCGCCGCGCTGTTGTTGTTGTTTGTTTGGTGTGGTGGGCAATTGTGTTAAGATTACTACACTATTATAACTGTTGCTGCCAACTTGAAAACTCTGGCATAAACGCCGAACAGCAACGAACGACAATAACCTCCGCCGCATTTTCGCTGCTACGATAGAAACAGGTGTTATATTTTGCCCCGCTGACGACGAGTTTTTCTTTTTATCGAATATGCAAGTTTTTGAGTTGTTCTTTTGATTCTGGTTAAGTGTGTGAGTGTGTGAGAGAGAGAGAGAATTCTATTTTCTTTTCTCCCATTTACGATCGAGAATTAATTGTTGCTGTTCTTTGTTGGTGATATTGACCTCCATATGATGAAATATTTTGATTTCGCTTCCAGATAGTGGCATTATCTACCATTATACATTAATTGTAGATTGCGAGTTCTTGAGAGGGTTCTTAATTTGGGATAGCGGTTTTTAGAGTGTAAAAATCATATTTACAGAAAGGTCCACGATTTGCCAAAGGCTGCACAAAGAGGTTCAGTCAAAATTCGGCTCAATACGGACATTTCATGCTCCGGTTATTAGATTTATAAATAATTGAAAATTTTGACCATTTGTGGGAGAGGTACTAGAAGGACTGGTTCAACCTTTGGGCTTGATCAAGGCTTGGTAAGGATAATAGCTCAAATCAAGCCAGATATTGGATTATAAATATTGAAAATGTTTACCACTTGTGAGGACGCTACCGGAAGGAAGGAGTGGGTACCATTTCGGATTTGATCTAGGCTTGGTGAAAATAATAGATTGTGGAATGTTTGGTTTAAATAGGATAGTCCGTTCGCATGATATTTTAAAATTAATTTTTTCGCTCAATTTTGAACATTTTGTGGGGGAGATACCAAAAGGAGTGGACCGATATTCCCCATACTCGAACTTGAATTAAGTTTGGAAGAATAATTACGATGGACGAAATCGATTATTCCCTTCGAGAGATAACGTGAGCATCAGCCGGCCGAACATTTCTAAATTGACTCCAAATTGTCTGAAACGGATTTGGACCAAATCCGAAACATGGGGTCTAGAACCAATATTTTGATATAGCCTCACAAGTCATTAGACTGAGGATATAAAACTTGGAAAAAGAGGTCTATGACATAGCCCTCATATAAAGTCCTCGCCCCATATTGGCTATGGTGGAGATTTTGTCAAATTTTTCCAAACTGAATGGCTGTTATTTGGAATTTACTTTTTGCAGTGTATAAAAATCTACTGGCCAGAAATTCAAAATGATTTTAGTGTTTTGAATACAGCACTCCATGTCCCGCCTGAACAATTCCGGAAATTTTTTTCGGCTTTACTCTAGTATAGTAAAAACAGATGAGATGAGATTTTTCTGAAATGTTTTTCAAAGGTAGGAATTTTTACCCGAGTTATGGGGATATATTTTTTGGGGGACGTACCCGGGTACCCTGTTATTTGACCCTAAAATTCAGGTACGGGTACCCGGTTATACTCGTTTTCGGTTCCGGCTACTCTAAAATTTATATAATTTTAGGGCTTTTAAAAATAGCTTTTCATTGATTGGTGACGAAGGGGTGGGGTTATAACAAACCAAAATGCTGTGATATGTGGATATATCTGTTGTGGACCGAAAGATATGGGTCTTAGAACCCTATGAAAACAAAAAATGTTTTCTACAAGGCAGAATCTCCTTTTAAATAGAATATTTTTTTATGATACCCATTTTATATAAATCGGATCTGTAGAACCGGGTTTAACCGGTAATCCGTACCCGAACTTTGGGTGAAATGAACGGGTTGCTGTGTACGTCCTATAAGAAAAAATATATCCCCATAATTAGGGTAAAAATACCTACCTCTGGATAAACATTTCAGAAAAATCTGATCGTTTTTACTAAACTAGAGTTGTTTCCATTTTTCTTAAATTTTGGCTAAATTTATACATTGTAAACCGACTATAGTCAATTTTACAAATTAATGAGTAAATAGACCGGCCTATTATTTCTTATATGTTATCGGTTATCGTTTTATTTATCAACCCAAGTAAAACTCATGCCCGATTAAATCACGAAGATTGAGAGTAGAACAATTAAAAAGTGCAAAAAACAAACAACAAACAAATTACATACATACATCTACCTATCTAACTTTTTTTCTTACAAAACTAGTTGTTTATGTTTTCTTTATTTGCATTTCCATTGTTTTTCCATGGGTAAAGAAAAAAAATTTTTTTTCTTAAACTATTGTTGTGTGGTGAAATTGCAATTGTGGTAATCGTCGTCGGAGATACCCAATGTGCGTTTGACATAGAAACGGCAAACACAACGAGGCAAACTCCCGCACGCGTGCTTTCTCACGAGAATAAATATCATTATACTCTCACACACATTCAATTGAAACAACTGAAAAACCATTGACACACACACACATATCGACAAATGTGTGTGAACCGAGCACCAACATTATGATGTTTATGCTGTTGAGTGTTGTATGTTTTCTTCTTTAGTTTCTTCATTTTCTCCATACCAACACCGACATCAAAATGAAATGAAAGTTGGATTGAAGCCAAGAGAAATAAATTAACTATCCATCTATCATATCTTCTCACTGGAAAAAGAAATAAAACAAAAAACTATGAACAACAATTCATATCTGTATTATCGTAAAAAAACCCACTTCCGGATTTATTGTCAACAAAAATATGCAATTTTCTTTTTTTCTTTTTTCTCTTTCAGACTGATTTATGCGGAATAAAATGGCGCAAATTTGTTAACAGTGAACGCCCAAATGCGTCCAGTGATCCACTGGACGATCCAATCTTACGATCCTATTCACGATGTATGCAAGCTGATATATTATGCGTTTGGCGACGAGTCCAGTCAACGCGACAGGACAATTCCGATCCAAATGCCTTATTCGAAGTTGTCAACACATCGAAAGTACATCCACCCCTGTCGTTAGCTGCGGCCAAAGAATTATGGTTATTTTGGTATGGCGAAGAACCGGATCTAACCGATCTAGTGGATGCCGAACTGTTAAGAGTTGCTGGTAAGTCAAAGGGAAAAGAACAAACATTTGAACAGGGTGGTTATTCGGTATTATGAAGATTTTTAGCACGCTTTTTAACCAAGTTGGATGTAATTTAGTTGTTTAAGTTTCCATAGGCTAGCAAATCTCCCTACCAAAAATGGTCGACATCGGTCCACTTTTTATAATTGCTCCCATAGAGCGGTGCTCTTCATTATTCGGAATTTTGGGGATTTTTGGCACGTTTTTTAGCCTGTAATGTGGTACATTGAGTTCCCATTGGGTAGCAAATCTGCCTACCAAACATGATCAACATCGGCTCACTTTTTATGATAGCTCCCACATAACCCTAACTTCAAATATTTGGTATTATGGGGATTTGGCTGTAATTTGGTATTTTGATTTTCCATGGGCTAGCAAATCTCCCTACCAAAAATTGTCGACATCGGCCCACCTTTTATGATAGATAGCTCCCATATAACAACGGTACCACCTCACTATTCGGTTTTGAGGATAGTTTTGGTACATTTTTTCCATTGGGTAGCAAATATCCCTACCAAAAATGGTCGACATCGGTCCACTTCTATGATAGCTCCCATAGAGCGGTACTCTTCATTATTCGGAATTTTGGTGATTTTTGGCACATTTATAAACAAAATTGACTGTAATTTCGTACTTTGAGTTCCCATTCGGTAGCAAATCTGCATTCCCAAAAAAGATCCATATCGGTCAACTTTTGAGGATAGCTTCCACATAACCCTAACCCCAAATATTCGGTATTATGCGATTTTTTGCACATTTATAAACCGAATTGGCTGTAATTTGGTACTTTGAGTTTCCATAGCAGGTAACAGTAAATCATACCACAATGTCTCCATATAGGGCCCCCTATCATTTTACGAATTTTGGCACATTTTTAACCGAACTTGCTCTAACGACTTAACGATTTTTTATTATCATTAATTTTTCGTGGATAAATGCTACCGCAATTGAATATCGTAGTCGTCCCTTTTTGATATTTGTAACATTTTTTATTTTTGAAGTTAAATTTCCTCTTTAGTGGGACGACGCTTTCGCATAATTTCAAGGCCATTGAAAAATACACACACACTCATCAAACAAAACCTACACACCAAATAGCTTTATTGCTGCCACTGCTGCTTGTCGGATATTTACAATTTGCTCTTGCTGCTATTGGCTGTACGCTGCTGCTACCCGTTTTATTGTATCTGCACAACCCACCCGGCTTTTTGTGTGTGTGTTTGTTTGTGTTGTTTTATTATTATGTGTATTTTATTTTCAATTCGTCTTCATCATTGATGTCGGTCGGTCGGTGACTGACTGGCTGGCTACTCTATATTTCTTTTCCATTGATGTCGCGTGCGCTTAGCCGCTCACTCATTCACTCGCTCTTCGTTCGCTCTCCACTCAATGTCGTCGGCTGCCTCCAAAAGTTGTACATACATACCAGACACCACATACATTCCATTGAATAACATTACATGAACTTTTTCACCCTTCGTATACATGCTCAATCATGGGGGGCTCATTTGTCTCTGTTCGGTTATTTTCTCTTTATTATTTTAAAAGTTTGCATTTGCGTGTGTGTGTTTTTGCTTTTATTGTTAAATGTAAAAACATTCTTATGTGTGTGGTTGTTTTATTATTATTCCTCCCCCCTCCATCTCCCACACCCCCAAAAGTTGTTCCCCCAGTCCGACCGATCAACTGTCAAATAACAAAACTAGTTTTATACACAAAAAAAAGAAGAGTATTGCCGCTGACGAATTAGCTGAGTTGCCGTTATTACTTTTTTGTTCTCTTTTGCTCACTGTATGACTAAATTTTGAGTACATTTCCGTTGATTGTTTTGTTTTCAAAATCACATTCAAATGGCTGAATATTGCTCCGAACCACGACTAACAGATGCAAGCCAAAACTTGTCATTTCGTGTAACTTCTAAATATTACATTTAAATGAGGCCAAATTCTGAGCGTTATATATTTCTCTGTATTTGGTAATCCGTGTAATCTAACATTCGGCCGGACCGAACATAGAATACCCCCCACCATAGATATAACGATAGTTACTTGATATTCAAATATAGGAAGCATACCAACAAACCGATTTAGGTAAACCGTAATGTACAACAAATATAAATTTTGGCAAATGTTAATGAATATTTTTCTCAAACCGTTTATAGTTATCATTATGTGAGGTGCTATGCCTAATTGAGGACTGATTTAGCTCAATTTCGAAAACAACATTTTTGCATCACAATACCTTCTTTTTCGCTAAATCGTTAGCGAATTTGGGAACTATTTAATCACGTATTAACATATTATTTTATTTTCATAGAAAACTGCATATCTCAGTGCAATTAAGCAATCCAGACATTAATATCGACAATAAATTAAATTTTAGTACTATTTAGTACCAAATTTCATGCTTCGAGTTCTGGAGGTTCACCAAAATCCAAATTTTAACAAATTTAGTTCCATTTAGCACACATTTTTTTCATAAGTACCCGCCTCAACCATACAACTTAACTTCCTGCATACCCCGATCCTACACCCCCACAATGTTTAAAAATTCAATATTTCAGGATTCCCACTCTATTGTTTCATGCCATAATTCAAATTGTACCAAATTTAGTACACAGTAGTACGAATTTCCAAAACTTCCTACATAACTCATTCTTACACCCCAACAGTGATCCTAACTTCAAATTTCAGGATTCCCACTCAATTCAAATTGTTCCAAGTTTAGTACACCGAAGTACGAATTTTACAAAATTCCTATATAACCCAAACCTACACCCCCACAGTGATCCCAAATTCATGTTTCAGGATTCCAACTTCATCGCTTAACCCACAATTTAAATTGAACCAAATTTAGTACAAATTTCCAAAACTTCCCACATATCTCAATCTCACACCCCAAAAGTGATCCTAAATTCAAATTTCAGGATTACAGCTACATCGGTCCACTGAAACATTAAATTATACCAAATTTAGTACCATTTAGTACCCATAAGTATTAATTTCTTGAACTGAATCCTGACCCCAATCCTACACCTGATCCTCACTCCTGACTCCAAATTTCATTGTTCCAGCTCTATCGGTTCATCCAAATCCAAATTGTAGTACTACGTACATATTTTAATCCTACACTCCGACGGTAATGTTAATTTCAATATTCATGATTCCAGCTCGATATGTACCACCAAATTAAATTTGTACCAAATATAGTACCACATAGTACTTTTCGTACACATGAGTACACGGTTTCAAAACAATCTCCTTATATCGACCCTAATTCGCATTCCAAATTCCAAGTTTTTAGCTTTATCCAGTCACATGCTACGAAATTGTACCAAATTTAGAACATTTTGTTGTCAAGGACTTGCCAACACTCAGAGACCCCTTAGAGTGTGCAATGTGATCAGAAGTCACCGCCAACATTGTCCCGGTTGTGCTCAGGCTCAGGATTTCCAGACAGACATCGACATTACCTGCCCTTTGTTGTCGAGGACTTCCCAACACTATGTGATCAGAAGTCACCACCAACATTGTCCCGGTTGTGCTCCTCATCACAATCTTCTCCTGCTTTGTAGGACAATTTTCGATTAGGAAATTTTTCGAGTAAGAAGTCCCTTGCAATATATTTCAGATAGTTCTGAGAGAACTTCCGAATACATTTATGGTTCCTCTTAATCGGAAGGAATTCCTTGTCGCTATTAGAATTTCGGTACCGTTTAGTGCGGCGACTCTGGTCGACTTCATACGTCTCTCGCATTGTCATTTCCGAGAGAACTTTCTAATGAATTTGAGGTTCCTCTTAATCAGAAGGAATTGCTTGTCGCAAATAGAATCTCTGTCCAGTTCGATAAACCATTTACATCCCAGAAGATGAGACGGGATACTCACCATACTAAGAGGCGGAACGAGCGGGTTTTCACAAGAGTAGGAGATCCGTTTGCCTCTCCAAGCATTTCGTTGACATCGTTGAAAGTAAAGGGTCATTGGAATACTCTCCTGACTATGGTTGAAGGAACCGGATTGCTCAAGAGTGGGTCCATTGGCCTCACCAGATCTTGAGTTGACAACGTTGAGAGTAAAGGGGAATAATTGGCATTGGTCGTCATCGTTTGGGGATATTGATTGGTATCTGACCTTGTACTAGAGTTCGAGACCTGAGGGTGTCAATACAGTCTTACGAACATCAGTTGAACCATCGCAATACATAACATTTTTTTTATTATTTGAGGAAGAAGGGGTTTTTAAAAGGGTTTTTTAACCATCATGGGCCAATAATGATTTTTTTGGTGTGTCACTTTGTTACACCATGTTAACTCCGAAATATCGAAAAACTTGAAAAAAATAAATAGGTCTACAATATAGCTCATTTTTTAACTTCACGTGCCTGCAACAAATTATAATTGGGATGTTCCGCTAAATGGGGCTATATCTAAAATTTATATGAAGGTTTTCTTATCTAATAAAAAAATTAACGCCGAATTGCATGAAAACGCGTCCAAAAACTTCTATTTGAATATTGTTGGGATATATTTTCTAAACAATGCTCCTCTATCATCCAAGCAGGTTGAATAACCTTAATAATACATGTATGTTCATCATATGCCGCTTGCGCGTCATCAACATTATGTAAACATAGCAAAAAAAAAAAGAAATACGAAGCGACTGAGAAACAACGCACCGTACGACTATTGCAACAACAACAGTGGGTTTGTGTTGTTTCTTACTACCCTGTAGGACTTTGATCAACTAGTTTACAAAATGTTTAGTTATAAAGAAATTATTACTCAACTGATTATAAATTAGCTAGAAAGTCATCTAAGACTCAACCACATTGAAACCAAAAATATGTTCATGTCATCAAAAACATAACACACACAAAACAAGAAACCGTTAGAATTGCATTCCACACAACAACACCGAATGCAAAGATGAAGAAAAATCATTCTGTTTGAAAGTTCGGAGAGTGAAAACGTGTAAATC